GCCTGTGGCGCACTCGGGAGAGTGCAGCGCTGGGAGCGCAGCAGCGCTCCCGCTGCAGGTTTGTATCCTATATAGGGATGACCGGTGCGCTCATAACGCTCACTGGCTGAGCGCGGTGCGGCCAGTCTCCAAAGAAGGACAAAAAAAGAAATTTAATCCTCAACAGTAATAAGAGGTAGGAACTTTAAGATATGATTAGGCCCTGAGGCTTCACCCTCATAAATGGATTAATGTTGTTATAGTGGGAGTAGGTTCCTTATAAAAGGATAAGTTCACCCTCTGTTTGCCCTTCTGCATGGGATGAGGCAGTAAGAAGGCCATCGCCTGATGCTGGCCCCTCGATCTTGGACTTCCTAGCCTCCAGAATCGTGAGCCAATAAATTTGTTTTTTATAAACTACCCAGTCTGTGGTATTGTTATAGCAGCACAAAATAAACTAAGATATCCTGCAACATAGATATCAGGTTAGGTTAAATGAAAGAAGCCAGGCAAAAAAGTGTATACTGTATAATACCATTTATATAAAGATAAAGAGCTAGCAAAACTAACCAATGGTGATAGAAGTGAGAATAGTGGATATATTGGGGTGGTATTGCAGGGAAGGGGTATGAGGGAATCTTCTTGAGTGCTTGAAAGATTCTATATCTTGGTCTGGAGTGGTTACTGAGCGCATATGTATGTAAAAATTCATCAAGATANTTGTCTTTTTTCGTGACCGGTAACGGGATCGCAACCCTCGGTGTCACGCCCGTACCGTGACTGGCAACGGGATCGCAACCCTCAGTGTCACGCCTGCACCATGCTCAACCAGTGAGCGGACTGGTCTCTATATGGGATCCGAACCCTCGGCGGGAGCACTGCAGCACTCCCAAGTGCTGCACTCTACAGAGAGCGCCACCGGCCGGCCCCAGACAAAGGTTTTAAAGTAACTGTAATAGAATACATTCAAGGGCTNTTCTATATCTTGGTCTGGAGTGGTTACTGAGCGCATATGTATGTAAAAATTCATCAAGATATATACTTTGTGCCAGTGTACTTTGTATATTTTATTTAATCTATATTATATACATTAATGAAAACAATTTAAGATGAAATCCATATGAAGTAATATAATATCTGAGGGATGAGGGCACAATAGTGACATAAATGAAATGGGACTGATAATGAACGGATAACTGTTGAAGCTAAACAAATGGTATATGAGAGTTGCTATTAATCGACTTATGTACATATTTGAAATTTTCTAAAATAAAAACCAGTTGGCTCAGTTGGTTAGAGCACAGCCTTGTAATAACAAGGTCAAAGGTTTGGTTCCCCATACCAGCCAGCCACCAAAATATAAAATAAAATAAAAACCTTTTTTAAAAAGGAAAAAAAAACGAAAAGAATAATGCCTTTGGCAATACTGGACTAAGTGGTTTAAGCCAACCCTCCCACTGAGAAATAAGAAAGCTAGAAAAAAATACTTTAAAAAACATCTGTTTGAAGGCTTCAGAGAGCCACCAAAGCAGCAAGGCACTGCAGAGCCAAATCTGGAAGATGAGGGAGCCTGGCATTTGGGAACACTGTTCTCCTCAAAATATGAGCATACTTCAAATCTTTATACAAATCTTTCCATGAACTTGTTAAAGACCCCTCATATTTGCCAATGCTGAGAGCTGCAACTGAGAAGCTGGGAAGTTGAGCAGAGCTTTGAACATACAGTGCTGGGTCTAGGCCCACCAAAGAGAAGGGGCCCTAGTCAACATCCTAGCCTGTGACTATCTGAGAAAGGTCTAGGAGTAATAATGAAGGAGAAATAGAGCTGTCTGTACCAGGACTGAATGTACGGACAAGGTTGAAATCATCTCAATCCCTTTTGCTACTGCTCACAGCCTAGCTGTCTGACAAAAGTAAAACCATATCCTCTCGGGAAATAAGCATCCTCCAGAGCCTCAAATTATCTCCACAACTTTTCATAAACAATGTCCAGAAGTCAATCAAAATTAACTGGGTATATGAGATGTGGCCAAAAAAGAAGAGGAACAATGACAATAGAAACAGATCCACAAGAGTCCATATAGCAGAGTTAGCAGACAAAGATTTTTTTTTTTTTTTTTTTTTCCTTTTTGAGACCGGCCACACTGCGCTCAGCCA